CTTCCCACTCACAAGCACCTGGGCAGCCTTGGGTACATGAAGCCGCCAATTGTTTTTATTTAGAAAAACAAGATAAGCATCTGTTTACACAGTAAAAGGAAATTACAAGGGGCATGGCCAATCCCATGGCTTCCTTTACATGCCTTGTTTGGAACCCAGAGGTCTTATTCAGAACATAATCCTCACTCACACACAAATCTGTATTGTCTCAGTTGGAGGTCAAGTGGGCATCAGGAGGTAACTCTCCTCACTGTCTACTCCAGTCCAAGTCCACAACACTGGGTTCCACTTTGATCTAGGGCTTCCAGATCTGGTTCCAAAAAGTCATCTCCACCAGGCTCTCTTATGCCTCTCTCCAGGTTCAGCAAAATCAGCTGCATCAGTTCTACGACAGACTTATCAGGATCCACAGAGTTAACTTCACTAGCTCAGCTGCTAATAGGTCCAGTCCCACTGAATCAATTCCAAACAGGGTGTAGAATTTCTAGAATCCAGGAGCCTTACTAGAATCCAAGTAAGGACCTACTCCTTTTGCTGAATTTGAGCTCACAACCTAATTAGAGTTCACTACTGGTCAGTTCAGGGTGACCTACTTTCTCCAGGCTATAACCTGTCAAATTTCTCCCCTCTTCCATAAATACATTTATATGCACCATTTAATATCACTTCCAAAAAACAGAACACAAACCAAGACCAAATAACATAAAACTCTGTGCAGAGTTGCACTGGGGAGAAATTCTTATATGTCCATTAAACCTGTCATAGCCAGCATTTCTCATTTCTCCTATGGGGGGGCAGAGAGATTTACTGAGCCTTCTAGCTCTGGGGTTTACATCAAGAAAGATCCTTGTTCAGTATCAGGAGTGACATTTTCTGCGATTCTTTACTTTTCACATGACACCCATCACCACAGTATGGGCGGATGCAACAACAACAACAAAAACAAAAGTGTCCAGCAGGGCTGTCCATTCGTTGTCCAACTCTTGGTTTAATCATAGGCTCCTGTGCAGTGGCTGGCCAAAATTCAACTAATGAGAACAAGGAGTGAATGAGAAGGACAATGCACTGAAGGACAACAAACTATTCCAGTCTGCTGGAGAAGTCCCTTTGACTCTTTCAAGGGGTTCTACCATGCAGAAAGAAGTGTTTTTAAATTCAACTCATTTCTAAACACATCACAATATTAACACAGGCATTTACATGTTTAGGGCATTTCTGTTACCCATAAACTCTCTTACTTCACTGTACTGAAGCTTTACTTAATTTAATTAGCAGCATATTAGTCGCATCACTTTATAATGGTAATATTCATTTTCACTTTGTCTATCATATAGGAACCTTGGTCTGTTTGCAAAACGTTTCAGGTTATAAAAGGATGAACAAATGCAATAATTTGGATATGATGTTATCAGCCTTCTGCCTCTCCAAATCAAAATGTGATATAATATGCAAAACTAGTTCTATGTTTCTGAAAAATCACCAAGATGATTAAACTGCCCCACTCTATTTAACTTTAGGTTTCACCAGCAAAACTTACTGCTAACTGGCTACCATATGGAACATAGAAGCAGACATGTAAGGGATCTGATTTGGCTTAAATTCTCAGTGCAGTGCCCAGCCTGAATAGCTCGCCTGGCCATGCCTGTGGATGGGAGGGCAGGCTGCAGAACTATTCTGCAGCTGCCATGGCAGCCCTACTGTGTGCCCTCCACACCAGGGCTATGGAGAGGAAGATTAGCTGATCCTCTTGACACTTCCCTGCCCATTAACTCCTGCTGCTGTCTGTGACATAAAGGATGTATTTCAGAGGAGCAGCCGTGTTGGCCTGTATCCGCAAAAAGAAAAGGAGGACTTGTGGAACCTTAGAGACTAACCAATTTATTTGAGCATAAGCTTTCGTGAGCTACAGCTCACTTCATCGGATGCATTCAGTGGAAAATACAGTGCGGAGATTTATATACATAGAGAACATGAAACAATGGGTGTTACCATACACACTGTAACCAGAGTGATCACTTAAGGTGAGCTATTACCAGCAGGAGAGAAAAAAAAAAACTTTTGTAGTCATAATCAAGGTAGGCCATTTACAGCAGTTGACAGGAACATGTGAGGAACAGTAGGGGGGAAATAAACATGGAGAAATAGTTTTACTTTGTGTAATGACCCATCCACTCCCAGTCTTTATTCAAGCTGAAAGTAGTGGTATCCAGTTTGCAAATTAATTCCAATTCAGCAGTCTCTCATTGGGTCTGTTTTTGAAGGGTTTTTTTTTTTGTTTTTTTTTTAAGAATTGCGACTTTTAGGTCTGTAATTGAGTGACCAGAGAGATTGAAGTGTTCTCCGACTGGTTTTTGAATGTTATAATTCTTGACGTCTGATTTGTGTCCATTTATTCTTTTACCTAGAGACTGTCTGGTTTGGCCAATGTACATGGCAGAGGGGCATTGCTGGCACATATCACATTGGTAGATGTGCAGGTGAACGATCAAGGGTTAGTATGCTGTGGGTTAGTATGCTGTTCAGAGGTGGCCCCTTGTGGCATGTAGTAGTTTAGATCCTTCTAATTAGGCCCTATGATGGTGTCCCCTGAATAGATATGTGGACACAGTTGGCAACGGGCTTTGTTGCAAAGACAAGACCTCCCAAAGTCTAACTATTCCTCAACTTTGCAGGATTCTGTGATTTATTAGGTGAGCTACTAAAATTAATTTTTCTGACGTCAGAGCTTTCTCCCATTGATATGGAAGTAGTGCCTCCTGTTATCCTCTAAAACCGTGAGTTCATGGGGAGAGGGAAGGCAGCTATTGATTGGAATTATTCCCACCCCTTCCACCAGTGCCCAGTTTGCCAGAAGCTTGACCACTTAGATGAGGTTTTTTTTTAAACAAAGCTTTGGAAGTCACCAATCTGTACAACATCAGAATCTGTCAACCCTCCGTTTTTTTAAAAAAAGCATTTTTTGCTATTCTAGCACAAAAAAACCCAACAAACCAACAAATCTGAAAAGAGGGAGCACCTTTGTGAAATGCTGTACAAATCCCACATTATGACATATGTCTTGTGGTGATGCAGCAAGATGCTTCTTCAGTTTTTAAAAGGAACATTAAAAATCCCATCCAATCTATTCTTTAATCATATTTTCCCCTTGACTCATGAGAGAAAACTTGTCTCTTCCTGACAACTTAACTCCATTTGCCACTGCCCTTTTCTTTCTACAATTGCCACACTGCCATATTCCATTTCAAAACTCAGTTGAATGCTGGGGTATAAGCGGCGAAGCAGACATATTTGTACCAATAACCCACTTTCAAGACAGACAATCCCATTTTAGCAAAGAATTGCACTTCATCAGACAAGTAGGGATGAGTGCACATGGACCTGGTTTTTATGAAGTGGCATATCTGGATTAGTGACCAATACATTGTCTGAATGCAGTTTTTGATATAATCAAAGATGTTTTGCCAACTATTCAAAGGATTATCTCAGTATTCAGAATAGCTCATATAGAGACCCTGCAAAGAATGTAGATCAACTTCTTAGAATCAAACTTTAAACAAGATGAACTATTTCATAAAGAAGCTATAGCAACACTGACTTTCACACATAAGAAGGCTATATTGCATTTTCTGTTTCAGTCACAATGAGAGCAGCACTAGTTGGGGAAGTCATTTTAATTGGGGGAAAAACTGGGTCTTCCACTCTTTACCCACACAGTCCCATCTTTTTGGCTGTGCACCTGGTTTACATCTGACAACAACACGTGGTAGTCTAGTTTCTTAACAGCTGGACTTCATCAAACGCAAGCTACTGCTCTAATGTAACGATAAAAGACTGGTGTAACTGTGCCAGTTACAGTCCTACATAATGCCACAAATTCAAGCTTCTTTGATGGCCAAACTGCCATTTTGCACATACATTTAGGTGTTAAATTTGACCAACAGAAAAGTTATTCATATTAAACTGGGACCAAAAGCATCACTGGGTTCTGACAGAGTTATTACTGTTCATTGAGGGGGCTCTGGGAAGAAAAGCCCTGAAAATCTGCTGCATTTTATTTTCAAAATCCCAAAGCAGAAATAAATCCTTAAACTGAACAATGCTGGGCATTCTGCAGTGAAGTAGCTTTAACAAAAAGGAACCACAATTTACACAAATGGAACCATTAATGCTTGTACTATAAGCACCATATACACTTTAAAATATTTTTTTCTTTCTTTCTGCGCATACACTAAAATATCTGGAAAGGAGAAGACAAACTGGTAGACAGGTGTAGTGTACTATAGAACTATAGCAAATACACAAATTTGTCACTATTAATATACAGTCTTGGCGCTGGAAGATAAACCACTGAAAAGAGAAGGAGTCTCCATAGATTTTGCAAATCTGATTCTATCTGTTAACTCTGACCAGTTCTCCACAGGCATGAGAAGGGGGGAAAGGACTTAAATCAACTTCTATATCCTTGAGTGAACGCAGCCATATGACTAATTTAGGGCCTCAGATTGTGCACTGACAATGCTCTGCTAATGGGAAACATGCTAGAAAAAGTTTTGTGGTACTTCATAAGCAAGCAAATATGGGTCTCAGTATCCTTGAAGCATCTCAGAAACAACAGAATAAATTACAGCATTAATTTATTTTGTAATTGAGATACAAATAGGAAACATCCAAAGTTTTTTGGAGTCAAATTTGCCACATGTAATAGTTCAGTTTCTAAACTGCAAAGTTTCACATATATCATAGGCAGCACGCAGTGTGTCCTCGAAAGCTCCCAAATGTCTACTTTTATTTACTTTACATTTTATTTTAATTGAATCATATTTCCCTATCTTCAGCTTTTTATACACACACACCTAAGTGGGCTTTTTCTATGATACATGCCATGTACAGTGCTCTACGCAATAACTTTAATCTGTCCTCGTTCTGATCATGTGTCGGTTCAGTTTACAAAACCAGTAATATAGTAACAAATAATAGATATAAAATGCAAGTAGACTTACCAATGAAAAACAGAAAAGATTCATTTTGATATGATGCTCAACTCCAGCACTCCAAAATAATGTTTCAAGGAATTCCAGACGCACAATGCTCCTTCTTGTCCTCCCAGCTGTTTGTACATTTCACCCTGGAGATTACAGCAAGATAAAATCCCCTGCAATAATCCACTGGATTCAGATCCCATTATCAAATGAGACAGGCTTGCCTGCACACACTGTTCCCAAATTAATGAACAATGTTTACCAACAAAACAAAAGCATGGCATGACTGATTATGATGGACTAGGAAAATACAGTCTTTTACAGGTTGTTGTTACCATCTAGTTTATCATCATAATGGAAATAAAGCTTCTTCTGTCTAAAAGCAGTAGAATACATGAAGAACTCAAAGGCAAGCATGCTGGATTTACTTCATTTATTTGACAAGTATACAACAAGAGAGACAAGGTGGATGACGTAATATGTGAAGAAGAGCTCTGTGTAAGCTCAAAAGCTTGTCTCTTTCACCAACAGAAGTTGGTCCAATAAAGGATATTACCTCACCCACCTTGTCTCTCTAATATCTTGGGACCAACATGGCTACAATAACACTGCAAACAAAGTTCAGAACAGGAATTTTACAAAAATGTTTATTTTGTATACAAAAAAATGGTAGAATAACAGCCATCTTTACTACTGTGGACTACAGCAGCATAAAATTTTTCAGCCAAAAGTTGTTTTGGCCAAAAAATTCAGATTCATGTTGACAAACTTTTCATGAATCAAAGTTGAATTTCTCAAATTGTTTTGGACTAAATAAATAAAATTGGGGGAAAATAGCCCCCAAGTTGAAAAGTTTTGTTCTGACATTTTCTAAACAAAATGTCTTTTCATTTAGAATTTTACTTCATTTTATGTAATTAGAAAAAAGGTTAAAAACATTAAAAATACAAAATTTTATTTCAGGTCAAACTAAGTGTTCTGTTCAGCACAAAACCATTTTTTCCCCTTTTGATTCAGCCAGTGAATTGACATATCAGTTATTTACACACTGCAGTCCACAATTCTGAATGTAGGTGTCTGAAGTTGGATACTTAAATTCAGATTTAGGGACCTAAATATAAAAAGTGCATAAATTTGGGAACCTATCTTTGCAATCTGGGCCTAGATTTATTCTCATTTTGAATTGGATCACTCAGAAGAAATTGATTTCTTACCTACATACAAAGGAATAAGTTCCCAAGAGCAATCCAACATGTCAACAATTTGATGTTGCAGACTAAGACTGAAATAATCAGTTTTGCCATTAGAAAATACTAGAAGTGAGGAAGTCAAAGAGGGCTGAGTCAAGGACTCTGGTTATGGATTGTGTGACTAGGGGGTGTGACAGGGTCGGGCCAGATGGCTATAGGAGAGTAACAGAAGGCAGATATATTAGCCCCAGGCTAAGTAGGTCCCTTTTCCCTGGTAAGGTAACAGGGAAGGTTCCAGAACAATCAGGAACCTTCTGGAAACAATTAAGACAGGCTGATTAGAACACCTGCAGCCAATCAAGAAGCTGCTAGAATCAATTAAGGCAGGCTAATCAGGGGACCTGGGTTTTAAAAAGGAGCTCACTTCAGTTTGTGGTATGGTGTGAGGAGCTGGGAGCAAGAGGCACTAGGAGCTGAGAGTGAGAACGCGGACTGTTGGAGGACTGAGGTGTACAAGCATTATCAGACACCCGGAGGAAGGTGCTATGGTGAGGATAAAGAAGGTGTTGGGAGGAGGCCATGGGGAAGTAGCCCAGGGAGTAGTAGCTGTCGCACAGCTGTTCCAGGAGGCACTCTAGACAGCTGCATTCCACAGGGCCCTGGGCTGGAACCTGGAGTAGAGGGCGGGCCCGGGTTCCCCCCAAATCTTCCCAACTCCTGGTCAGACACAGGAGGAATCAACCTGGACTGTGGGTTCAGAAAAACAGCCAAGCTGAGGGCTGCCATGAAGCTCCAAGGCGAGCAAATCTGCCAATAAGCGCAAGACTCACCAAGGTAGAGCAGGAACTTTGTCACAGGGGATACTGGTGCTGTCCAGCATGACAGAGAATGGTGAGGAGGAGTGATCTTACAGGAGAGAAAGACAATGGCCCATATCACGAACTGGTGTAAATTAACATAGTGCCACTGACTTGAGAAGTTCAGTTATAATAGTACATGTTGGTACTGACCTGACTTCCAGCAAAATAAGGAAGAAAGAAGGAAACTAGCCCAATGGCTCTCAAACTGTTTCCTAGTATGAATCATTTAAGATTAGATTCTCTTGTGGACCTTGTTCCCTCCCAACCTACTAGCCCTCATTCCACATCTCCCCAATGACAACTATAGTGCTTGGTTATATGAACAAGTAATAATCTGACAGTAACAAAGAGACAAGATGAAATTTACTTTAATTTGATGGGGGGGGGGGAGTGGAATTGGGAAAACTTTATATTTGTAAATGCCAGACTTCCCTCTCATTGCCCATAGCCCTGACCACGTATATCTGTCTAGGTCACTTCTTTGCAGTTTAATTCTGTCCCCTGTGAGTTTTCTATGCTGCAAAAGTTGGTGGATCAACACATTTCACAGTTGAATTTCTACTACAAACCCCTCCAAAAACAAAAAGACAGACCCAAAAAGGTCTTTTTGCTTCTTTGTGATGCATAAAGAGGGTTGGGAAGGCTTCCCATTAACCACCCTAGGTTGGTTGATTGGTTTTTCCTGCATGTTTTTTTTTAAACATTAGAAACTGAGGAAAATTAACAGGTGCATGTAAAGAGCTACACACTAGAAGCCCCTTGCAGAGCACAACAAGACATGTACTACAAAAGTGAGGAACAATGCTGCATATTCTTGAGTGCCATCTACTGGCACTTAATCTACATATTTACATATATACAGGCATACAAGACAGTACACTGTAGCACACAGAGCACTGGATTGTGACTCAAAAGACTTGTACCCAATTCCTGGCCCAGTCAGTGGTTTGCTGGGTGACCTTGGGCACATAGGTGCTGACACCTACTGGCAACGGCGGGTGCTTGACCTCCCCCTATCCCCAGCCCCGCCCTGCCTCCACCCCTGCCCCGCCCCAACTCTGCCCCCTCCCTGCCCCTATTCCAACTCCTTTCCCAAATCCCCACCCCGGCCTCGCCTCTTCCCCACCTCCTCCCCTTAGCATGCCACGTTCCCGCTCCTCCCGCATCCCTCCCAGAGCTTGCTACAGCTGTTTGGTGGCGGCAAGTGCTGGGAGGAGGTGGAGGAGCGGGGACACGGGGTGCTCAGGGGAGGAGGCGGAGGAGGAGGTGTGCTGGATGAATGGTGACGTGAAAGTAGGTATCCTGTGGGTCGAGGGACGAGTGCCAATCTCCTTTCTCTAATGCTGGAATTATGGTTGCCAGGGTAACCATTTTGAAGCGCTGCGTCCTTACAAATGTGTTGAGTTTGCATAGGTCCAGAATGGGTCTCCAGTCCCCGTTCTTTTTCTGTGTGAGAAAATAATGGGAAGAAAACCCTCTTCCCCTGTGTTGGAGTGGTACTATTTCCACAGCTCCTACTGGCAGGAGATGATTATTTCCTGCTGCAACAAGGTCTCATGAGAGGGGTCCCTGAAGAGGGATGGGGAAGATGTGTGGGAAGGGGATAAGAAATAAATGGGATAGATTAACCCTTCTGGATGATTTCCAGCACCCATTTGTCTGTAGTGATGTTGTTCCAGACTGGGTAGTGTGGTAGCAGGCGGTCTCCAAATAATCTGGAGGTCATCTGATAATTCGGCCTGGGAGAAGATAGAGGTCTTGAGCCCTCGACCAATACTTCAAAACAATTGATAGGTTGAAGGTTGAGATGAGGCAGGTTGATCCTGGTTCTGCCTGTACCTCGCTTGCAGCATTAATCGTATTGTCTCTGGGGTTGGGAGTATGGGGCGGGACGGAATCTTTGGGTATAAAATCTGCCCTGTTTTTTCTTGTTTGGGGGGGACATAAATACTGAAGGTCTTCAAGGCAGTCCTCGAGTCCTTTAAAGGCAGTCCTCGAGTCCTTTAAAGGTGCAACCTGTGGTTTCCAAAATAGTTTTTGTCCCTCAAAGGGCAGGTCCTCAACTGTGGTTTGTACTTCTCTAGGAAATCCAGAGAGGTGGAGCCATGGTGCTTGAGACATGACCATGGATGTGGCGATAGAACGAGCTGCCGTGTCAGCAGAATCAAAGGAGGCCTGCAGTGCTATTTTGGCAATTAAGGAGCCCTCTGCAACGGTAGCTTTGTATTGTTCCCTTGACTCCTTCAGCATTTGTTCAATAAAGGATGTCATTTTATTAAACAAGTTGTAGGTGTATTTCACCAACAGAGCAGAGTAGTTTGCTATATGAAATTGCAGTGAGGAATAAGCTTTGCATCCGAAGAGATCAAGCCTTTCCCAGTCTTTGTCATAAGGGGTGGTTTTTGACTGGTGCTGTTTTCCGCTTTGGTTTACTGCCTCTATGACCAGTGAATTTAGAGCCAAGTGAGTAAATAAGAACTCAGCCCCTTTTGCAGGTACATAATATTTTCTGTCCGAGCATTTACAGGAGGGTGGGAAAGTGGCCAGTGTCTGCCATATTATCTTTACAGGATCCATGAGAGCAGCGTTAATGGGCAGAGCTATCTTTGCTGATGGGAATGCCTGCAGGATGTCAGTAAGTTTGTGCTGGGTCTTTGGCAGCTCTGCTAAAGAGATGACCAGGGATTCTGCAACTCTTTTGAATAAGTCATGGAAGGACTTGAAATCATCTTCTGTGGTGGGAGGTGGTGGCATAATTGTTTCATCAGGGGACGAGGACGAAATATGGGTGGATGGCAGTGTGTCACCTTCAGGAGCCTCTTCCGGCTCCTCTCCCTCTTCCTCCTGGCCTCTGATGGTGGTGGGTGCATGGGTGAAGGGGACTGGGTGGCCCTTGATGCTAGTGGGCTAGGGGGATTAAGATTTTGGGCTCTATAGATTGCCAACGGGTCCCAGTATGGCCAATTGGGTGGCGTAACAACGGGTGATTGTATCCATGGTTGTGCCTGCCAGCTGTGCCCTTGCATAGGTGGTTGTTGGTGAGAGGGTCCTGGTTTCGGGGAGGAATGATGAGGGGTATAAAGACCTGAATCATCC